AAAAATCAACCCCCTTGTTCAAACTCCAGTTTCTTGTCTGAGAAAGTCAATGCTGGTGCTAAAGACATTCAAAACCTGTGAAGAGGCGTTTTACCACTGGTGCAGCTTGATGTAATCAGCTTTGTTGGTGGTAAAAAAATAATGCAAAAAATTTGACATTCTCTTGTACATAGTCTAATAACCTTGGGCAAGATGACCTGTCAATTTACTGATAAGAATGGTGAAGTGTGTGACATAAAAGAGGTGTAAACAATGGCCAGAGAGTTGGGTTTGAACAGATCTCTTGGACATTTGGGTGGTATTTCTTTATTCAAAATATCATAATTGAGGCAGCATAAAAATGGATGAAACACCACAAAGAAACTAAAGACCAACCAAACAGATTAAGTGCTGACATGCTGATCTTTCAGCCAGCTATTCAACATTGAGAAATCCATATCCATGAGCTTCCCAAAAAGGTTGAATTTCAAGCTTGAGCCAGGGCCAAGTTCCAGGGATGTTCTCAGCCTTGTAAGACCCAGGTATTTTTTCACCCACCTCCAAGTCAGCACAGGAAATTGGCTGCATGGTCCCATGTATTCAAGGCAGCATCATGATATATGTGGAGTACCAATGTGCTATGTTCTTAAGGAATCATATATCCCAGATTTAAGGTGACAACAGTATAACACATATCAATGGTTGGAATTCTCTGGATATGATTAGCCACAATTCCAATAGTATCCCACAGGAACTTTTGTGTCTAAATTGTTTGATTCAAGATATTGTGTAGGAAGCTATGGGCACCTTCCACAGAAAGCTGATAGGCTTCCAGGAGAAACTTTCATAGATATGTGAAGAAGTTATTATCTGTACCAAAAAGTGCCACCACAGTCATCCAAAATCTAACTCTTATGCTAATCAGGGCTGGTGTTTCAATTTAGCTCCTACCTGTTGAATGTAGACAACAGGTTGTTTTGAATCATGAATTATATATGCACTACGTTTCAACCTGTGCAATTGCATAAATAGGGGGAAAACCCAGGCTATGCAATGTTGTGGGTTATTCAGAGTGAGGTAGATGCATTGGCAGGATAGGCCAAAATTCATAAAAATCTATTGCATTTTACGTGTTATTGATTAGACCTGAGACTTACGGCTCAAGGCTTAGGCATCAGAATTCAATGCATCCTCATTGTGTATTCGGGCTGCAAGCAATGCAATCAATTAATTACCATCAAAGAAATGTTGTTTATATATAAAATATTGGACTATGTGTTATCATGTTTGACATAAATGTGCAATACCCTAGCTCACATCGAATCTGGGGAAGACCTGGAATATGAAGAATGGCTAATTATGTAATTAAACAGGTATGCAATTGCATTGGTTTGATTGTAACTATTTATTTCCTACATAGATCCCATTGACCTTAACTTGATCAAATGTGGTGCAAGATCTGCTGAACTCTGGATGTGAAGCATTGTGTGAAGGAGCTCAAGATCCACTACAGGGACCAGAGTTTCAATGGAATTTCACAACACAAAGGATGTTTGCTGTGAAGAGTCAGCACAGGATAAGTTTGAAAGGATAGGAGTTTGACATGACTTTTTGAACATTTTGGCAAATGCCACATTTGAATGAAAGGCCTTTGATCATGCATCAGTTGAGACAAAGTTCAATACATCCCAATGCATAGGTTTCTGGTGTCTGCTCTGTTCAAAACCCACCACCAAAAAGATACTTCTTTACTTTTCAGATTATTGTAGGGTAAATTCCAGACTTTGGGTAGCTGGAAAGTCTTGAACATTGAGTCATCAAAGATAACAGGGAATTTCACTGCCATAGCTAGCAGCTCATCACCTCTGATGATATTCTGATGATATATTGCTGCACCATTTGAAACCTTGGCATTCTAAACTTGAAACAAACAAAATAAGTGCTTTCCAATTTTGTTGAAGCATCACACAGTTTTGAAAGAGATGGTATGATCCAATATCAACTTGGAAGGGTGGAAAACTGGAAAATATACCAAGCCTGAACTTTTTGCAGATATATTGAATTTGTATCAAATATAGGCAACTGATCTGGCACATTTAAAAGTTATTGAAAATGGTAATGTAACGTTAATCTCAGGTCGCGGTATTGACATGAGTGAAGTTAATCTCTTGTGTTCAGAATTTATGTACTCTGGATAAACATTGGAGGGTGTTGTACCACAATTCCTGATCATCTCTAACACAACACCATTACCCAGAACCTGAAGTGAATTTTAAGTCCAGCTTTGCAAGGAGCTATTAGATACCATGGTGATTAGGATGTCAAGGTAAAAGGTTTCAAAAAGGTTTTCAAGACTTTGTTGACAAATCTCTTGAATCAAAAGAAGGAGATTAGTGACACACACATGTTAGAACACTTAAATACCTGTTTATATTGAACAGACAACAGTTTGGGCCATTTTGAGGGGCCATTCAGGGGCTTTTCTTGTCCTTGTCCACCACTTTCATCCAGGTGCCTCTTTCCATGTTGACTGTGTATAGTGAGTGTTGTACACCAGCTGTAGTTAATTGAATATTGAAGTGATTATGGATTTGTGATGGTTGAAACATCAAATTGATACAATATGTACAGGTTGAGTAAAGTCAGCTCATGGGGAAAAGGTATTGCTCCTGTATATGGCGGAGAAACCCCAGCCCTGGCGCATTGTGGAGCAGTCACTCTGCTATGTGGTTGATCCCCCCAGAGTGTGGTGCACAGGCTCTGCTCTGTATAGAGGGGATATAGTAGTTCCAAAACTTCCTCTCAATGGGAAAAATGTGCAGAGCAGTTGCAGTATTGGTCTGGTGAGGGACTTAGGACTAATCAGCTGGGCCTGGTGGTTGCGCGGAACTCCTCAAATTTGGTTTTGGCATGGAGACTTATTCAAAAGCCTCAAGAAGTACCACTTCCTCTCAATCAAGCCCTTGAGATCATTTTAACTAGAGCTAGCTGTACCTAGTCCCATCACATCTATGTATCCAGATTTGTAAGTGCCTCTGAGCACCATGAACAAAAAATATGTTTTTGAAAGTTTGAATTTGATGTGCAGGCAATAAGGGTTTTATTTTTGAAATAAAACCAATCAATTCTCATTCCTTGTCCAAAACTCTTTTAAAGCCAGTAAAAACAGTTTTAACTTGATTTAATATGTAAGTGCTCTTGATTTGTACTGAAAAGATCTTACTCAGTCCTGTTGCTATTGCAAGGGGTCAATGTTGGGTCAATGGACTTCTCTCAAAGACCAAAGTTGTTCATTTTGAACTTCTGAACAATTTGGTCTCCTCAGAAATAATGTAGTGTGTGACCTGCAGTAGGTACACAACTGTATAGGGGATAGACCCAAGCAGGGGTTTTTGGGTTCCTGCTCAACCACAAAAAGGGTATGATTAGTTGCAAGTCTATGGTGGCTGTGGAGCACCAAATGAGTCAAAACCTACAGCCAAGAATGGCAGGTTGATTGCAAATTTGTAAAAAATTTAGCAGTGCAGCAGATAAACTGACTGTAACTGGTTTTGCCAGTTTCCTGTGAAATCTACTTAACCACACCTGATGTATGTGTTGGCCACAGAGTGGCTATGTCAAATCTTATTAACTGATGAGAAAAGGATATTCCAGATGAATGGTCACAATGACACATGACCTTCATTGGAGAATCATCTTCCTTTCATATTGCTTCATGCTTTTTGAAAGTGGAAACTCAAAAAAAATGAGTTTTGCACAGGAGAGAATCCTCAAAAAAGTCAATCAACCATTGTTGAAATGGCTGGAAAAATGTGAGACTCCCATATGAAACTCCCCCTGAAAGTCTGCTTGAGCCTATTCCAAGCCCAGGTCTGTTGCAAGTCCATCACCCCAGACCAAAAAATCCCTTCATCTCCCTTGATTCCATTCTTTCATCCATTTTTTTCCCTATTTGTTTGCAAATCGTCTATGTATAATATATTGGTCCTGATCTTCAGATCCTCATGTACCCTGTGAGTGATGTTTTTAGAAAACCAAACCTTTTAAAAAGAATGTGGTTGTTTAAGATGATGACATTGGAAAGCATCTTCATGAGTAATGTTGATAGATATTATAATGATCTTTCAAATATATACTTGTGACTTTCCCGGACCCTGCAATTTTATCTTGTAACCGTGATGCATTGATCATTAGATATGATGATTGTTTTTTAAGCAATTAGAGCAACTTTCTTTTTGACAGCAAACACCAAAAAGAAAATGCAATCTGTTTTTCAACAGCAATTGCTCAGAAGAAGAATCTTTGCACATTGCCAGTCCAATTAATGACTACAGAGCAAGACTTTGTAGCTGATATAAAGAAACACTCGGTGGAATAGACACTGAGTGGACAGGGAGTGACAACGGGCAAAGTGTTGTTGGTCAGAATCAGGATAGGCTGAACAGGGCATTGAGGGCAAGATTCAGGTTGATTTTTTGCACTTTGGGGTTTTGACTCATTTGGCGCTCGGCGGCCACCATAACTATCTAGGGCACCTATCTCACGAGGTTAAGAGAGCCCTGCAATAGAAGTGTTCATCTGGCAATTCAAACTTCATAAAAAGACAAACCTTCTTTGAGCTTAGTAATGGGTCAAGGATTGATGGGAACTGATCATTAGATCCTCTAATGTGTCTCTAAATGCTTAATGACTGAGAAGAAAGCAAAAAGTTTATTTGCTGAAATGAATGTAACAAGTGTAACGAAGAAACGTTTTTATAAATCCAATATCGTTTACCAAAGAAAGAAAGAAAGAAAAGAAAACAAAATTGAAATCAAATGTAAAAGTGGTAAAAGAAAAAAAAAAGGAAAAAAAAAGAACAAGGTTTGAAGAGAGAAATGAAAAAGAAAACATGAGGAAAGAAAAGAAGAAAGAAAAATAAAGGCGGGGGGGAAAGGAAATGATTTCATAATGAGTAGGTCATAATTCAAGTCGGTACTTCGTTAATGTGAAAAGGAAAAAAAATGTTATAGAAAGGATGATTACAACAAAGTAATAAATAAGATCATCAAAGATGTAGATAAACCATACATCAAAGGTTTAACAGAAAGAATAGATGAGGAAGAAGGTTTATTAACATTTCCAGAGAAACCAGATGCATCAGTACCGTTTCTAAACACTTTAGGACTAGCTGTAGATGAATTAGTTGAGAATGGTCCGGTTGATACATTGGTGGTAGCTGTTTCTGCATAACCTTCTGAAAGTGGTTGACCAAGACAAGTGATGATTGGTTCTACTGTCAAGTTTCCAGCTGCTAAAGCTTGCGGTAGAACGTATTCTACTGCTAATGCAACACTTTGAGGATACAAATCATGGGCAAGAACTGTAAGATGAACAAGGTCTGCATTAGTACCGGAATCTCATGAAGGATTAAATAGGATAAGACTATTTACCAATGAAACCACTGGTGAGCGAAGAAGCCGATGCAATGATATCTTGGAAGTTCTTGAGAACTTGAGCTGGTGTTACGATACCAGTGGAGATCTTCCAATCTATTGATAAAGTGGAGTAATCAGTGACTCATTCAAACAAACTTCAACTTCAACTCAAAAAGGGATGATTACCTTGAGTGTCAAAGGTCTTTCCAGCTGGGGATGTAGTCCAAATGATAGGTGTAAGGCCCATAGCCATAGCGATGTAACGAACTCGGTCATCAATATCTGAAGAGAGGGAAGCAAGGTGATGATCTCTTCAGTTACTCCGGTAAAAACAGCTGTACAAACAAAATTGCTTACCACCGTAAGGAGGTCTCATCGTGTTGGGGGTGACGCCAATAGTGTCCTTGATGACCTTTTTAGACCACCCTAGCTCTGCAACAATTTGCTCATTGGTCAAGGTAGTGAGGGCAGGATGAGACCAAGTGTGAACACTTATCCGACGAAAAAAGAAACCGCGATCAAAGTCAGTATCACTGATAAAAAAGATTTGATGAGAATGAAGACTAACGAGATTTGATTTCCAGCTTCGTATTCATATTGTAACATGGCAGGACGACTGAGAACACGTGATCCGACAACGAAGAAGGTTGTAGTAAGATTATGTTTAGCAAGATAATCAAGTAAGATAGGTGTATCAGGTGAAGGTCCGTCATCAAAACTAGCACCCCATGTAGCTTTGTTGGGGCAGACAGTGATATCCGTATCACGCGAACAACCACCACAAGTCCACCAACAATTCCCACCAGCTCCTGCTGATTTGACAGCAGCCGCATTAGATGTGTTACTACAGCCGTTCAGTCCAGTTGGTGCTGATGATGGAATTTTGGTCATATCGATCTGACTGAGCCATTCCTTGACTTCTGGTGAATTGACGGAAGGAATCAAATCGAGTGGAGGATAACTAGCGATGTTAAGGATAGTTGATGGAAGGGCTGGAGCTCCAGGAACGGGCGAAGCGCTACCAGGTGTGAAAGTAGCCGGTAAAGCTGTCATTGTTGAAGGAGCCATAGATTGAACGATTGGAGGAAAATTTCCAGTTTGTAAACTACCAGCTCCAGCACCGGCACCAGCTGAGTTTGATGATTTGGCTTTTGATGTAGTAGTCGCATCACGAGACCAAAGGTTGTGAGTCGGATTATGAGATGAAGCAGCGGCGCTTGAAGCCACAGTCATGACTATGAGAGCCGATAGGACGGGTCGGTAACTTCCGACGTTTGAAGAAAAACCAGTCATGATAGGTATTCCAAATTTAAAAAGCACTATTGGATGAATCTGAATCATCAAATGAAATGAGGGTGAAGAAATGAGTTATAGGTAGAAAGTCAGTTAAGAAGTCGATTGAAATTTGATACACAAGCTTGGAAATACGAGGTGCTGAGTATAGGTAGAAAAGTGACATACCTGCGAAGATGTTAAACCGATATGAATATCAGCAGGAAGATGTCAAATGAGCGTCTTTCAAAAAACAATCTACGAGTTGGAACGTTGATTGTCTGTTACGAAGTCAAAAAGAAAGGAGAAAGATATGATTTCGTTAGTATATCCAATGCCACAAGATGGACGTAGTTGATGATGACGAAATGAGTAAACTGACGATGGGGTCACTTGTGTGAGGAATAAGATATCAAGGAGTATAGAATCAGAAGAAAAACTCTCAAATCGCTTTCTAACTGTTTAAAGAAGACTATAATCAGAAAAAAACCTCAAAGATGTGAAGTGTGATGTACGAGAAGATGTATGAATCGAAGAATGGCAAGGGTGGGAAGTGAAGAAAAGTTTGTAATCCGGAAAAAGGTGGCTTTGACCTTTAATCCAACTGTATTCGAGCCGAACCAATGTGTACCCCAATCTAGCCATAAAACGCACTGGACTGTTCGTGCAGAAGGCCAATAAGTTCATACAGCCAGTTGTAGCTGAGCTGGGACCCAACCCAGGCACCCATGCGCTCAGCATGACAACATTTAAGTTCTTCATTGAGTTATAGAAAATTATGGCTTGAAGCTCAAGAGGCACACAATCCAATTGAATCCCAAAGCGCCCACTAAAAGAGCCATGAGTCATGATTTACGGTATGGGTGATTCTTTCACCTGGACCACTTTGGGTTTGGGAGAACAGAGGGTTTGCGAACCAAGTCCAAAAGTAGAAACTCGTCAGATAAGTTAGAGAACGGTTAGAGGAGGTACAGACTTGGACAATTGATTGAAATTCATCAAGGCTCGGATTCAATTTTGAAAGGAAATACGCTGAAAAGAAAGAAAGATCCACTTCAACACCTCGCATTCACTACGAAACTAAGCCGAACGTAGATAGGTTTAGTCATCAATCAACTTCACGGTCATCACCTACATAAGGAGTGACTATGGTCCGTTTAGATTCACTTTGACAACTCGATCTGTGAATAAAGTCATCAAATGAATCTGGGTGAAGACATGTCAAGACACAAGGGTAAACCATGATGACCTACAAGCAAATGATGCGTGAGAGTCAAAGATAAGAAAACTGGAGAGGTGGTTTGCATCTCATGAGCTCATGATCATCACCTTATCCGGTCTAAAGAGCTTCACAGGAAATGGAAGTTGAACAGCAAGAAAGACAGAAATGAAAGTAAGTCGGCTGATCTGTCGCTTTGAGATCACAACCTTAATTTCTCGACCGAGTGAATTCTTGATGGATTGAGTTCAATTTATCATCAAAAACAGCTCGGCGTACAAAGAAGGGTACAATCAAACCGGAAAAGCTTGTCACAAATTCCCCGCCATATTTGCTCGAGTCTTGCGGGCAAAATCGGTCAGGCTAGATTTGGTGCTGGTTGGACATATATCCTTGATATCAACAAGTTCTCCAACAACAAAAAGAATAAATTAAAGTAAGCTTAACTATGTAAGCTCTTCTTGCGCTTTTGCCGCGCCCTCGCAGAGGGGCTTGAAACGAACTGGCGTTTTTTGGCGGGAAAGCTTCAGAAATGAAGTCACCTTGAGTAGTTCTTTCAAGCTATCCGCTTCACCCCACCGTAGAAAGTCCCAAGTTTGGGGTGTGATCCTTCATCTCTTTGTACGTATTGTGGGTACTTCATAGATTGGTTCGTGTCGAAGGGAAGCGTAATGAAAATGTGATGAAAGTTTTGTAATTTTCGTGTTTTGATGTGCTTTTCGTTTTCAACACATACATACTATGTAGGAGATTTACAAAGAGAAAGTCAGTGATCATAAAGTATCGCTTGTGAATCCGATTCACCACTCGTTACTTGCCTTGACACCAAAAACAAGGAAAGAACACAGCGATTGTTTAAATGTTATCTGTTGAAATTCTCATTAAACTGATCATGTATCTTTCATTCATCCGTTCGAGATCCAAGAGGGCAAAAGAGAAAAGTGGATGATGATGATAACAAGGATGAACTGAATTTTTCAAATAATTTCAAAGAATCATTATAAATATAAATCACTCACTGTCTTTCATTAATTCTTGGAATGTTTCTTCAAATTTGTTTAAGATTAAAAAAGCATACCAAACATTTTAACTATAACTCCATCAATTTTCATTGTGACCAATCGATTTCCTTTGTTTAAGTAAATTTGATTGTTTGTGTTTGTGTGTTGTACAATTTCCTTTGTTTGAAAAAAAAACAAACACAACTTGATGATAATCAATCAATCCAGTTTCATCATACTTCAACTACAAACTAACTGAAGTGACTATCAAAAGATTTCCAATTCTCATCTTTCTTTTTAAAAACTCGCCACGGAACATCATTTGATGTGAACAACTTTAAGAAGTGTTTTAATTCCTTTCAAGAATCCTTTGTTCTTGAAGAAATAGTGATTCATGTCAGTCAATCATCACTTCACTCCCCGCGGAGGTAGTACCGATCTAGCCGCTTATTCACTTAATAGTATTCAACGTCATCAACATCATCAAGATCCTTCACTCAAACTTACTGGCCGTGGCCAAGCAACTGAATATCATCAAACCGGTCTCAATGTGATCTTAGAAAGTAATCCTCATCACTTTAAAACTATTCATGATCACGATCAATTCCATCCTCAAGATTTCAATCAATTTTTAAATACTAATACTAATCATACTGCAAGATCAAACTTAGGTCCAATCCTACCTCCAATTTTACCTTATCATATTAAAAACCCATTATCTAATCATACTAGTAGTAGTCCTACTACATTTATTAATCCTTCTAAACATTCTAATCATAATATCATTACTAATGAAATTCAAATTGATCAGAAACATTCCAATTCCGAAAACTTGATCACTTCTTCTTATCCTAGACTTTATTCAACCAATCATCATCATAATAATCATCCAACCCAAAATAGCAAGTTAAACTATCCAAAAGATAATATCAATCATTCTAATTTATTTTCATCAGTTTCTCAAAATCATATTCAACATGAAGTTCAAAAGAATCTTTCATGTTTTGACATCAATTCAACTGAACCATCAATCAATCAAATCCAACCAAGATATAATGAAACTCGAGAATCATTCTCATCATCATCATCATCATCAAATCCATCAAGTTATCAAAACACATTAGAAGAAACCCAATTTTATCAAACCGATAAAGTATCAAATCATCATCATTTAAATCATAATATAAAACAATTCAATTCGAATGAAAAATCTTCAAAACCTTTTGAAAATTTAAATCGACCTTATCATCATCCAGCAAATCAAGTACCAGATAAGAAACATAAATGTGAATAGTAAGTTTCTTTTTCCCTCTTTCTTTTTGTTTATTGAAACTTGAAAAACAGTCTTCACTAATTAATGTTTTTTTGGGCGGCGGTTTAGTTGTTCTCAAGCTTTTGCTAGAAGACATGATCGTGATAGACATGAAAGAATGCATACGGGTGAAAAGTGAGAAATCTTCCTTTCTCATGAATAATAATAAAGAATATTCAACCGATTGATATGTATATTTTTTTTCGTATCATTCAGACCTTATATTTGTCAAGAATGTCAAAAAGGATTTATGAGAAGTGATGCATTAAAGTAAGTATCTCAATCAAATCTTTAATTTCTCTTTAAGTTGAATATAAAATTCCTTTATAAAAAATGATCTTCATTATTCTTTTTTTTTCGAAATACTTTAGTCGACATCATTTAATTGAACCTAGATGTGGAAAAAGATATGAATAAATCAAATTCACTTCCATCCACAAAACCAATGCCAGCAAACAAATCAAAAAAAAAAGCAAAAAAAAACACTTGATCTATAAACATTAGATGTTTTTCTTTTCTCTCTTGAACTACTTTAATTTTATGAATCATACAAATCTTAAAGAGTTGTACAACAAACTTCCAAAAAAAACACACATGATGTATCAAAACTCATATTCTACCTTTATTTCATACTTAATCAAACTTTTACTCAACTCACACATACTTTATGAATCTGATGATAACGATGATGATACTTAACGAAATTCTTTTATCCATATAAACATATCTATCTTGTATTTTTCTATAAAATAATTTATAATCTTCTTTAAACAAATCATAATCAAAATCAAATCTCCTTTCATTTTTAAAGTTAAAATTTTCAATTGATTTTTTAAGTAAAAGTTCTGAAGTTGATCAAACAACTGAGTAAGTTACTTAAAAATATGGAGAGAAAAAATCAGACAAAAAATGACATGGTCTTTAAAAAGGACTCACATCTTTGATGAGGAGAAGATTAAAGTGAGCATTAAAATCAGTTCACTTTAGATTAATGAATCTCATATTTTTTTCATGAAAGATTCTTACAGAAAACCACACTATGGTTTATCATAGTCTCATAACATGAGGTCATAAGTCAATACATACACAGATGTTTCATCGGCCTACCATCAAATTTAGAAGCAAGCTATATTTCTTTTTGAAGGTTTTTTTGACTTGCACAATGTTTTCAAGTTGAATCCATTAAGTATTAACTAAGCCTCACCTTTTGAGGGGAGGGGTACGTGGCTGTAGCCGCGTTACACATTTTTCACAAGAGATGGAGTCATTTATCAATGAAATGTTTAGAAGTCGAGTACAGCTTGTTCTGAGGACCATCGAGTTGACAAAATCAAAATCATATCAACGTCTCATTCGGTATGTATGTATGATCCACAGTCACTCATCTAACACGCAACGTAGTAAAGATCTAATGTGTCTTTTACAAACAGTGCCCTTCGTGATGTTTCATGACAATTTACGTTTGTAACTGTCAAAAGGTTTCGAAAAAAGACAGTCTATCATACAACGACCACAATTAAAGCTTTCTTCAATCAACCAACAATTTATAAAAATTTCAATGTATATCATCAATTATGTTCCAACATTAGCTACTGAACTTTTCTTTCTAATCGAAGTACCAACCGATGTACTAGATTGAAGTACCGGAACAGGTGAAACTTCACCAAAACTCAATTTAGTCCAAAACGTAAATGATTTTTGATGTTCATCTTCATCTTCATCTTCTCCTCCTATAGGTGTTCCACTTTTTTTCTTACGAGCATGATGTGCATGTAACGAATCATCTAAATCTTCTTCAAATTCATCTGATCTATATGTAAAGGTTACCAACATATCCGCCTATTATTTGAGAATAGTGTTTTGATTAGTAATAGACACTTGAATATTGTATTATAAAATGAAGATACTAACTTGTAGGGTTCCAACAAAATCTTTACTGGTTTTCGTTTCCACCAGAACAGTAGTCCGATTCGCTCTTCTAGTCACCACCGGATTTGACTGTAACGTCCTACGTCGCATAGAATCAGTAATACCAAAGGTACTAAGTCGACTCCGTTTCGTCGTCGTATTTTCATCTCCTTCTCCAACATCATAACCAGCCTCATGATCATGATTGGCTCCTTCATTTTCTTCATCAGCATCATATTCCCAAACTTCTGCAAACGCGGCAATCGTGAATTCAGGTGCTAAGATATGTACAGCAAAAGGTGCTTGAGTAGATGATCCATCTGGTGTTGGAATCGGTCGAGGTGGTGCAATCGAAAGTCTAACATTGATAGGCTCATAAAGTGGATTCACAAATGTTAACTCGAATTGATACTTTCGATCCGGTCGAATCACTTCATCTACCACATCTCCAACCCTACTCAGTAATGGATTACTACTAGTTCCACTCCCAGGCCGTGAAGCATTCTTTCGAGCGGCACTAGCACCCGATGTTAAGCGATCAGCTACCAAGTTCTTAGGCATCAATCTTTTACGTGATAATTCGATCAAAGGTAAATAATTAGATGCCACTAATTTGATCTTGAATCGAATTGATTGAGCTTTTTGTTCAGGTTTAATTAAAATGTGTTCACATGTAGGGCATCGTTTGGTACGTTTCGAACGAAGTGGGATTCGCATGGGTTTTAAATCTTTAGCCAAATCCAACGTTTCCCAAACTTCATCCCATCTCTTATTGAGAGGCGAGAATTGATCTGCATGAATTTCGGATGAATGAGTCCCTTCTGATGAGTTCTTGGGTCCATGTCGATAAAGATCATATCTTGCTTCATATTTTTCTTGTACAGATTCTCTTGTGTCGAGAGTTCCTCCAGTCGGAAAGACAGCTTCATAAATATAATCACCTTCTTTAGAACCTCCTCCAAGACTGAGATGACCAGATGAAGATGAAGGTAGTACAGTACTCGTAGATCTAACTTTAAAAACCGATGAATGTAAACCAAGTTGAGTTCCATATCGAGTGACTTGAGGTACTTCTTTGGATAAAGCTAAAGAAGCAGCAAGTTGTGCAGAAGAACTAGAAGAGATTAAACCTCTTGAATGATGATGTGAAGTTCCAGTGTTGGATTGATTTTGAGATTTAAGATAAGATTCAAAATGATCTTTTAATTGATCGAATTCAGCTAATTCAGGTGCATTAGAATCGGCATTTTGTAATTGTTCTATAAGTCCCAAAAAAAACACACCATCAAGTAATGAAATAAAGAAAAATCAGACAATCAGTAAGTCTTCAATTCAAATCAGAATCAATCAAAAAAAAATCAAACATTAAAGAGGCGATGATGATCAAGATTTACGAGCTAAAAAAGTCGGTTTTTCGAAAAAGATGCCTACTTGTTTACTATCCCATCTACAAAACGTACATGTTAAGAAATAAGGAGGTTCACCAATACTAGCTTGAGGTGCTTTTGGATCATTATCAAACGAACTGGGTGGTGGATCACTTGCTACTGCTGCTAGAGTATTATGACATTGAGGACATAAGAAACAATTTCGACCACATCTAAAATCAAATGTACAATTCAATTCCATCAGTTCTTTTGGTGTTACTCGGGGAAAAAGGTGTTTTTTCGATTATATAGAAGTTAAGAAGATTGGTTACCTATTCTTTTGAGCTCTAATGTTAGCAGAAGGTACTTCAAAAAGACAATTTGGACAATAATAACAATTTAATTCACAATTCACACAATGATCACATCTGATTGCATCACATTCTTCACAAAATAGTAAAGAAGAAAGTGAATGATAATGAGATGGATGAGGGGTCGAGATTGAAGTGTTGTTTGAATCGAAGTTAGGTGGAGTGGATGAGATTGGAGCGGTATGTGGACAAAGGTAATGAACGGAAGTGGTCATCTTGAAGTCACTCGATTCTCGATCAGCTGGAATCTACACTGAAGCTTAACAAGAAAGTCAAGCATGAAGCAGTTTGAAAAACCTCCATTAACACATAACCTTCATCGTCTCTAAACCCATTCACAAACCCATAAATATATCTCAACTCCACTTCGCCTCACACAAGGCTGCACAACACAGACTGAACTCCTTGCTAAACCCATCCGTTTCTCTTAAACTTTCAATCAGGCCTCCATTCAAAAAATAACTTGAGTTCAATCAAAAAAAACATTAACCAATAAAAATCCTTGAATAGATCAACCGTCCTATACCAATGGACAAAAGTACTTTTCACTTTCCCAACTTGATAATTTTTCCATAATTCTTTTGATATTGGGCATAGGTTTGATAACGAATTTCCTGATGTTTGAGTTTTCGTTTCGGCATATAACCACCGAAATCCAATCATTTGTAGATTGTGGTTTTTTTCGAAATACTCTTTTGATGGTTCATCCACACATGATCTATGATGATCTCCTCCGCAATTTGCTTAACCGGTGTTGCCAAAATATTATGTAATATATCTCTTCATTTATGTGCAATCACCTCATGGATGGCATCATCATATGGTTAGAAAGGGTTAGACCATGTGTTCTGTAAAATGTTTTTTTTGGAAAGATTGCCCTACTGCCATGATGATGAGCGTTATTGTTAGTACATTCAATCCGATTGTTTTATCTGTCTGCGCATCAGTTGCACCCTGTTGCATCACGATACATATAGCTTCTTTAAACGCTGGCTCCACACGCCTGAGGCTGTACGGACTTGTAGTAATAAATGGGTAATTTGAGCACATGATCTCATTGTCAGTGGAAAGTAAGATACACGTTGGTGTCTGTTGAATGGCACTGAGATCCACGCAACTTCAAAAACTTTACAAAATGATATGTAACTTTCATTTTCAGTCTACACAGTGATTCTTATCAACTGATGATTTCACAGCTAGAAATTCAGAGCATCAAGGTCAAAATCAAAGTAATTTTCTTAAAGGCCGAATGACCGCTTCTCCGCGTGCGACGAGCAAACAAAAGAGCTTGAATGAAAATTGGAAAAACTGAGGAATAGTCAAAGTTGGTGTATTGTGAAGTGATCAAGTTGAAGAGAATGGTGATCGGCTGAAGGAATTTCCTAAATAAGAGAACTTCCTCTTCCAGCTGGTTTACAAACTATATTTAGGTGTGTGAAGTGTGTGAGTGTGATCTTGTGTGATAGATCTAAAGGTCGATTTTAACTCTTTGAGCCAAGATTAAGTGAAAAGTTTAAACCAAAGTAGGTTGAAGGATCGCCCGGTGTGACCGACATCCACCTACAGTCGATTTCAAAAAAAGTTCACCGAGGTTTGCCCGCCAAATTCAAGTGAATCGGCTTGGAATTCTTGTTGACTGTGTACGTTCCAGAATTGCGACATCTCCGGTTAAAATTGTTTATATGATTTGCTCATCAAATCTCTTGCTCAGCTAAACCAGGCTTAAAAAATAACCCGATTAGTATATAAATTCCTTCGCGCTAGTTCCAAGTTCGATGGTTTATTAAACTCATATATTCAAAAATTTACAACCCACTTGCTCTTGCATAGCTTCTCTTGCATAGCTCACGAAGTATCATCACTGCTCGATATCGTTTTCATAATCGATCCTAATCGAGAAACAATGTCGCGTTTCTCACCCACTGAAGGGGAAGATCCATCAAAGTTGAATGAGATCGACAGATATCAAGAAGCTCCTTCTCCAACTGATGATGAGCTCAACAACCTAAGACGAGTACCTGGCTCGGTGAATCTACCGGCTTATTTGATCGCTTTTGTTGAAATGGTCGAACGATTTAGTTATTATGGAACAACTGTGGTGTTTACAAACTATATGTTGAGTTTTGCGAATTCCATCTCATCTATCAACACGCCGTAACACAAACCGCTTCAAAACGTTCGTTCATAAGCCGCGTTCACTCACTCAACCCTTTTCTACGAATTGCACTCTTGGTCACAGTCAGCGGCCTCTTCCGCCAGGATCAGTCACTGGTGCTGGCGGAGTTCAATCTGGCGCATTAAACCTGGGTCAGAAAGCCTCTACTGGAATTACCACGTTGGTTGACTCTTGATCCCTCTTTAAAGTCTCTCTTCATAATTACTCATCATAATTTCTTTCTCTTTTCAGTTTCAATACTTTCTGGGTATATCTTTGTCCACTCTTTGGAGCATGGGTTGCCGATGCACATCTTGGACGTTATAATACTATTTTGATTTCTGTGTTTATTGCTCTCGTTGGACACACACTTCTCATTGTTTCAGCCTTACCTACCGTCATTACGAAACCTACAAACTCATTAGCAGTTTTCATAATTGCTATCCTTGTTTGTCATTTCCTTTATACCTCTCAAAAACATTTGATTATCTGCCTGAGTAAATTCACTCACTATTATGTTTTTATCATACAGATCATGGGTATTGGCACCGGTGGATTCAAGCCTAATATCAGCCCTCTTGTGGCAGAACAAACCGAGGTTAATGGTCAATCCACTCGGACCATTCGAACTCTCAAGTCTGGAGAAAGGGTCATCATCGATCCAGCACTAACAGTAGAGAGGATTTATTTGTGCGTACCTGTTTTTTTTTCTTTATCAAAAACTTGGTGTGCTTTTCTTTAACTCAGATTTTGCTTGATGGATTTTTTTTCATATTCTTATCTTGGGTTTCAAATAGATATTTTTATCTTATGATCGTAAGTTTTATTCAATCCCAATTCTTATACATAAGGATCAAAATCATAATAGTCTTTTAACTTGATCATTTTCCTCCTGTCAGAACATTGGTGCATTAGTAGGCCAAATAGGAATGGTATATGCAGAAAAATACGTGGGATATTGGTTAGGTGAGTGTTTTGTATAAAAGCCAGATTTACTAAACATTTGACCTCTTCTTGTTCCGCCTATGCTTCATCAAAAACTTTGCAGCCTATATGCTTCCAACAGCTCTTTTTTTGCTATGCCCAATCGTCTTGATTTTCGGTAAAAGACTTTATGTACTCAGACCACCCACCGGATCAGTTTTCGCTCGATCACTACAACTTTGGAGATTTGCAATCTTAAAACGATGGCGAGCACGGAAAACGAAATCCAAAGAGACTGCTTCTCTTGATTTCTGGAATGCTGTTAAACCAAGCACATTAGAAAGATCTGGTGAATCAAAACCGAAATGGATGAATTTTGATGATCAATGGGTAGAAGAAGTTAGAAGAGGCTTTAAAGCTTGCCGAGTCTTTTTATGGTTCCCTTTGTTTAGTCTTTTGATTCTTATCAAATTCTTGGATCTTTTGGCTCCGAAAACTGACCGATGAATCCACCCTTCTTTCTTTCATCAGGTATTGGCTTACATACAATCAAATGGTGCGTCTATCTTTTCAATGATAAAATGAAGTATCTAGACATGCTTACTGAGATCTTACATATTTTAGAGTAACAATCTTACCTCCCAAGCCGGAGTGATGAACACACATGGCCTGCCCAACGATATTCTTTCGAATCTAGACCCACTGGCTTTGATTATACTGATCCCAGTGGTAAGTATTTCTACTCACTTTTCAGGAAGCCGAGATTGATGTATGCTTGTTGTTTGGGATGTTTTTGTGGTATGCAGTGTGACATGGTCATTTACCCAGCCTTGAGGCGAGCTGGAATCAATTTTGTAAGTCGTCTAACACACTCCACTAATCCTTCATACTCATATTTAGATTCATCCTCATCAATCTTGGGCTGTATTGTGATCAGTCACCCATCAAGAAAATCACAGCCGGTTTCTTCACCGGATCATTGGCAATGGTTTACGCTGCTGTTACTCAACATTACATTTATAAAAGGAGTAAGTGTGGTAGCTTTGCCAGCGGAAATGAATGTGATCCTGTAGATATCTCGGTTTGGGTTCAAACCCCAGCTTATCTGCTTATTGCGATCTCTGAAATCTTGGCCTCTGTAACTGGTTTGGAGTAAGTCCTTATCCTTTTCATAAATTTCAGTTGACAAATCCAACGGAAATGTCATCGTGCCTAATTTGACACTTCCCATTGTTGTGGCACTCTTTGTGTTTAGGTACGCTTTTACTTTGGCACCTAAAAATATGCGTAGTTTAGTCACGAGTCTTTTCTTGTTTCAGTGAGTTTTTCTATATGATAAATAAGATGCTGGCTCTATTTATGTAGCACCTGGTCGCTTTTTGTTAGATCGGCTATTGCAAGTGCGATTGGAGAGGCTTTCAACGGATTGTCCGCCGATCCACTCTTAGTGTTAGCTTCTTATTTTAATCTAGATCAAATGAACACATAAAAATCAAATTTACTAATCAAAACTCTTTGATTCTTGTTCTCATTGTAGTTGGAATTATGGCACGTGAGTTGCAATTTGACTCATTATACAAGATATGATGTTTATTCAACATGACTGATTTGATGGATTGTTTGTCTGATATTGAAAATAGTATGGCAGTAATTGCGTTTCTAGCGGGGATTGGATTCTTATTTTCACATCGAACACTTGATCATGATCATGAAGAGATGATAAGGTTACAAGAAGGCAAATGTGAGACCTCAGTTAAGCGTGAAGCAGGATATGAAGAATCTATGAAAAGAAGAGATGTAAGTAAAGGTGATGAAGTACCTGAAGAAGTTTCGACTTTGATGGATAATGTTAGTCCACCACCTAGTCCTCAGAAAAGCATATAGGATGAAAGTGATCGATAGTGATGATTGGGTAAATGAATTATGTTTGGGGAAATTGAGATCTTGTTATGTGTTAGAGGATATTTTGTATATGATTCCCATCTTGCTTGCTTATAATTTTAGATTGGTTTGATGAAATTAGTAAATACTGTAGCATTGGACTAGCTTCATTCAATTGAGTTTCATTTACACCCTCTGCTTTGATTGTGTTTTATTATCACTTGTTTATCTATGAACTGCAAAACTAATTCAAGTCAGGTTTTAAGATCTTTGTAATTCTGAATGTGAACATTGAATTATATAAATTGGATCTGTGTTACAAAGTCTTATGGCGCGTTCACTCAAGGAAATTCTGACCAGAAATCACATTCTGTAAAATCTTTAATGCAGAAATGAAACATTCTCCACCAGATAGACACTTTGAATTTTGCAGAATGAGATTTCTCACCAGAAATCTCTCAAGTGAATGTGCCCTTGATGTCTTTCCAACAAAGTAGGGTTTGCACTATCAATTTCAAGCTGCTTTTTTCACAAAGATTGTAGTACAGCCCTTTGCAGAATTGATGACTTTGGAAAAAGAGAAAACGCTTGAGTTTTCAAAAAAACCTGCGAGTTTTTTTCAAAAACTCATCGAGTTTTTCAAAAACTGAGCGAGCTCTTTCTCTTTTAGACTTACTGAGCCAGGTTTCCAAAAAAAAACTCACTGACTTTTTGAAAAACTCAGCAGCTTTTTGACAAAACTCAAGGTTTTTTATTTGAAAACTCGAGGTCTTTTTTTCTTCAAAGTCATCAATTATGCAAAGGGCTGTACATCAAGGGTAAGATATAATTCAAATGTGACATTGCATCTGATGAGCAATCAAACAATAGAATGAAGACACATAGCTGACTTACTCTTCACTTTATAGTATCAGAAGGTACAGCCTGCAGGCAAAGCCTTTGAAATATCAGAGTCAGACGGACACTTGCCAATTATGCTTTATGAATCCAATGTACTTCATTTTGAGCACCAAAGGACAGTTTCAGGATGTTCAGTGGCCAGCCTATGGAGTTGTTCCTTGCATTGCTTTGGCAAAACTCTGGTTGTGGTTTTTGTATTTGTTTTGCTTTTTTCAGCAATCCATGAAAACTTCAAATCTGAAAGTCAACTTCAAAAGATTTTTTCTCAGAAAATGTCAAAGGACAAGAGGAGGGCAGAAAGCGCATAATTATGTACTCGCCCGATGCCTCTCGGGTAGAGCTTTCCGATCAAGGCTGAAGGCGCTCCGGCATATGTGCCAGGACCGCCCCAGGCTATTCGCGGGTCATACATACATATTCAGACTTTCATTGCAGGATTGCCGAAGAGGCCGAGAATGGGAAGAATTGGAAATGGGCGTTGCAGCCGTTGAAGATCAAGTTAAGTCAGTCTCAAGCTTTGAATGATCGACCAAGGAGATCTACGGAAGTGTTTCAGAATTCCTATCAACTTGAAACATGGGCAGACACAGCCCTCGGCGACCTTCATTATCAAACGATTCATTATTGCCAGTTTCTAAGAAAAAGACAACTACGACCTCCTCACCTGCCAAAAGTAACTCAACCTCACGCGATCGTCCTAGCTCGAGGCAACAGGCTACACCTTTTCAGAATCGAAAGGATCCCACACAATCTCACGGTATCTCACTACGAGGCCTTAGAACGCTCAGCCGGCCACAGATCAGGAAAGCCATCTCACCAGGTTTGTCAAGCTTAGCTTTCATTCGTAGCTCAGTTTCTAAGAAAAAGTGATATCGATCTGACTTTCCAAATTCAATATTATTCAATTTAAAGCGGATGCTCCCGATGGACATTCTCTCAAGCCACCCTCATCGTATACCTTACATGACGAGGAAGTGATCAAGCCAAGTGCCTCCAACATGTCTACTACCAAACGACGCTTGCCGGCAATAAAATCTCTAACCCCGCAACAATCTAGCGAAAAATCAGCTGTTCCTCAATCTACAAACCGGACCGGTCCTCTAAGGCCTCCCGGCCAATTGAATTCAAACCTCCGGCATCCATCCGCCCCTCTATCAATTTCCAAACAAAGGAACACGGAACCTCCTCCTAAATCTTTTCCATCTCAAACACCAATTCGTAGAGTCAGCGGGAGAAAAGTCATACCTGGAACGACTTCACAAGATTCGGGTCTAGCAAAACATCGACATGTTTCGCCTACCGCTGTCACCCAAAAGAGTACTCATAAAAGTCGCCTGCCTATCGCTACTCCCACAACCACAGTCAAGACAAATGCGACTAGTTCTGCTCGAGTTCGCACCTCTATCTCAGCTGTCGATCTGTCTTCTCATCAGCCACATGGCCTTCAAAAAGAGTTGACTACTAGCAGCGAGAGCCACTCAGACTCTTCTAAAAGCACTACAAGTTCAAGTAATATTCCTAGGAGGTCTTCCGTCAACGGCGCGTTGAATGGAAATCCGGAAGACTTACCACGATCCTCCTCGTCGAGCTCTCTTGTTCGAACCACACGAAGGAAAAAGCCGCATAGCCCAACTGATAGTGAATCTTCAATGAGTGAATCTACGAAAATCAATAATTCTCTAGCTTTTGATGAGGAAGCAAATGAGATTGCAGAGTCAAAGAAAGCCACTCAATCTATAGGGATCATTCTATCTCCTGTTGCTGAAGAATTACCTCGCCGTCCGATGACTAGAGCAAGATCCAAACATCTTCTTGGATACGATAACCGACCGCCGTTAGAGGCCTCCAAAGATGTCCCTAGTGTACGAAGGCGTCCTTCTCGTGTGATGGAATTAGCTCAGTCTTTCGAAGATCCGACGGTAAATTCAGGCACATCCAGAACTCCTTCAATCACCAATGTTTTATCATCATCCAATATGGGGTATACTCCCAATCGCAAGAGCAGCGGCGCATTTAGCTCTGCTTCTACAGCCTCACCTCACTCTCCTAATATAATGGCTCTGGCTGCTACGCTCAGTAAACAACACGTTCAACGTGATCGCCAAAGTCGTGTTCGATCGTCTATCTCGGATATGTTACGCTACTCAACTATGTCAACCCTTGGTACCTTGAGATGGGAGGATGGCGCTGGTGATGGATTGTTGACAGACGATAACGAAACTGAAGCTATGGTAGCAGATATCTCACTGGTAGAATCTACACCTGTTCGACCTGAAACTGAGAAAGCTGCCTTAGCTCTTGCTACAGCTCGATCCAATTTCCTTATAGTAGCCAAGGAGGATGAGAGTTTGAAGATGTCAGGATATGATCACAATGCGATGAGCTCTCCATCAATCAGTTTGAATCATCGTGGAAGGTTATCGGCCAATTATTCCCCTTCTCCTCTTGCAAATGCTACTCAAGCTAGTCATGACCCTTTTAATCAAAATGTCAAGCCTTCTTCGCTCTCTAAATTCAACGGACTTGTGGCTCAGGAAGCCCAACTCGCCTTCCTATCTGCTGAACTTGAAGCATATCAAACTCGGGAAGCTGAATTACAAAGACAACTACAACAAGCTCAAACTTTGAACCAAGCCCATTCAGCTGAAGAAAAAGATCCAGAAAGAGAAATACTTTTGGTAGAAGAGATGACTCGATTAGAAGATGAAATTCATAATATGACAGAAGTTAATATCGATTTAGAAAACCATGTGGATAGAGTAAATTTTGAAAATGAAGAATTAAAATCAAAAGAAGAATTGATGAGAAAGGAGATTGACGGATTGAAAGAAAATTTGAAAGAATTAAAGAAAGTTGAAACCATTCAAGAAAGAAGAACAAGGAAGACTGAAGAGGTTCCTCAACTTCCAATACCTCTGATCTCCTTACAAATCCAAAAGGCTCAAGAGAGTGAAAGGGTCTACTTGAATGAAACCCAAAGTGAGATTGAGATTATCAAGTCTCAATTAATGACACTTAACCTTATCAAACTATCACTGTCATTACAAGATTCAATTGCAGAAGAATTAGATAACGCAGTATGATTTGAAGATATATCAGATCAAGGACATATAACGGTCACTCAAGGACCAATCGATTCAATATTCTATTATTTTTTCTTTTTCTCGCATTAGGTCTCTTGATTTCGAGTATAGCAAAAAAAGGATCGAAAACTACGGTTTTGAAATGACCAGAGCTTTAATGAAATTGATGAACAAATCAAAATCATCAAGATTTTGAAATAATAATGAACATAATGATGGTTACTTTTTGACACATATTTTAGATTTTTCTTTTTTTCAAATTTCACAAATGTTGTAATAATTTTTTGAAATCTTGTGTATTAACTTTCTGAATAAAATTTAATGATTCTTTTGGTTGGTGAAAAGCGGTTTCAAGGAATACTTGGTTTTGGGTATGAATCATCTTTCAATTGTCAGATTGAAGGTTGTGTGCTTGGTCTTTAGATATCAGTAGATGATCAACAACATAATGCATAAGATGACAGCAGATGAAAAGGTTTTTTGGATGAGACAACCCCTGAGAAGAGTATAGACAGATTAGCGTAGCACAAGAGAAAGTGGAAGAGATGTGTCTGGCACTGGCATTGCAATGGTCTCATAGTAAGGATGAAGATGACAAGTAGGGAAAATCTTCAAACTAGATATGTTGGCTGAAAGTCAGGTGAATTATAGGTTTTAGAAACCACAGAAAATATGATCACCACAAAATAACTCTTGAGACCAAGTTATTCAAATCATCAATTGGAGCAGCAGATAAAAGCACTCTCCAAGAAGATAAGCAGGGTTTGTGGGACTCATCTGGATCACTAACATCCAAAACTTTGGTTACAGAAGGGCCCAATAGGAAGGAAGGTGAGATCAATATGTATTTTCAGGCATCTTGGTCTTGAATTGTTTCACATCCATCACATACATTCCTTGTGGGTGATATTGAGTGATTCTTACTCTCCATGGGCTCAAAGCACGTCTCATTTCCAAAATAATCATCTTCAAGGCATATTATTGACTTGACCTGATACCTTTCTGTAGAGGCAATTTTCCAAGCTACTCTTCTCTTATGATGATTTTCCACATCACTCAGAAATCCACCAAAACTGATATACATTTTTTTTGATTCATGTAATTGAGTAATACAGTTCCACCAAACATATCAGAAAATTCAACACTTTTTCTCTGTGAAACTTTATCCACACACTTAAGACCTGGTGAATGTTATACTTTTGCAACTGCAGGAGGTCCCCCCTGATATTCTCTCTATCCAACTGCTATAGAGATAACAGCTCTGTTACCCCCTTCAAATTATCAACAGAGTCTTCATGAATGATGGCGGGTCCAAACATAGCTTTCAAGGATCTTTCACTCAAAATTGGGTCATTGTACTTCCTAAATAGACTGTATTTATCCATGTACTTAATCAATGAGTACTCGGATCTTTTCCAGCTATTGAATCTATCTTGTAAAGCACTACAACAGCAAATGAGGACAAAGTTTGAATGTGATCCCATTGTCCCTTGGTTAGATTTCTGATGAGGAGAGAGTAAATCATTGGAAGAGGACAAGAAGGCTTGCTTGACTCCATATTTTCACTGTCTGGAGGAATTTTTTTACTACTCAAAGATACTACTTCAATCTCAAATCTTCTTGAACACTGCTTTTCAAATTGTATGCACAGCTTATTTGTTCTCTCATGATGTAAACTGTTTATCTCTGTTCTGTTTGCTGACCCATGTTTAACTACATCACCTGATAGATTTTTTTTGTGGTGAGGTCCTTAACTGAACCTCCATCTTCACTGATGGTTTGAGGATTTTTTGATATCTCCTTGATACCATCAATTGTGATGTGATTTTTCTTTGAGGCCTTAATTATAAAGCCCTGTATATCTTGAAGGGATCCCAGTGGTTTAGAGCGTCTTTTTCTGTGTGCTTCTGAGATAAATACTTCACTTCTCATGTTGAAAACATGGTCCCTTGTTGGAAAGGTTTGCAATCAACTATGATCAGCACCCCTGTTTCAAAATGATTTCTTGAGGGTACCTTGAGATTACCTTCAACAGAATGTTCACCTTCTTCCGTTGTGTCACTGTGATGATGTGCTGTATCTAGAATATCTTCAATTGTTCTTGTGTCAGAACCATGGCACCAATGTCATTGTAATCCCTGTTCACTTCTATCAACTTTGAAGCTTCATCCAAGCCATTCCAGTTGGATGTGAAGCAGTGGATGGTGTAGAGGTGTACATGCAACAAGGATAAAACTGAGATTAACCTTCTAAATTGGCTTTGCATACTACTCTAATCTGCAGGCTGGGTCTGACTGGATCTTCTGAAGGAAACTTTGATCATTGTAAAGAATGTGGCCAAATTCAGGGGTTTGAAACAACAATGGAATTTTGTGGGTCTATTGAATCCAGAGACATGAGATCACAAGCTTCAATATTATCCATAGATTATCCATAGACTTGTTCTGGAGCAAAGGTCAAGGTTCTTGTTTGTTTCTGTTGAATTTATGTCTCGAGTTTGTCTCAGTTGCTCCCTGTCAAACTTGTAAATACATAATCTGTCCACAATTCTTACCTGCGGATTTTTTCTGACCAGCAAATATCAGGACATCACTGTTGCGTATTCATCAACATCTTGGGATATAATCTGAGAAGTACATAAAAGTACATATTTCTCACTTGTCTAGCTATAGTACAGATAATAATTGATCCAGCTTTTTGATTGTGAAGGATGATTTGCCTATTCTTGGTCTGATCAACTTGAACCATCCTGAATGGATGATTTATGATGAACAATTTTATATACTTTCACAAAGCCTGATAACGATTCCTTGACATTTCGCATGAGTTTTTGCTGGTGAAAGTCTTCAGGCTTTTTGAAATCATCTATATCAAGAAGGTATGGTCAAAATATCAAAGGGCCTTCAAAGCTCACTTTCAGTGACTGAAACCAAACTTCTAAGCGTATAAAGCATACCAAAACAAGGCCAAGTCTCGTTCCTCGTAGAATTGGACTCAAGTTAACAGTTCTACTGGCTTCCAGACTTATCCTTCAATTATTTGTAGTCCTCGTTGAACCTTGATATCTCAAGAAGATTTAAAGATCAAGTTGAATGGATTATCTCCTGACAACAATGTTTCAGTTACTTGCAGCAGACACCTAAATTTTCTTCAAACGTCTTATCAAGAAGATCTTAGCCCAATTGTAAGATCTCAAAGATGAATAGAGAGGGCTATGGACCATAACGGATGCTGATCGTGATGGCAGTAACCCTTTCAGACTTCCTGAAAAGGGGAACACAACGGAGTGGAAATTTGTGTACAGCAAGATGTCGTGATCTCAAGTATCCATTATGATGGAGGAAGTTCTGAAAATCCTTCTACCCAAGCTGGAGAAAGGTCAGCTGTGCCTGCAAGAAAGGGGTCTTCCGATTGGATGTAGGCATTGGGAAAATGAGGAAAGAAGAATGGGAAGGCTTTGTGATGGTCTGGAAGGAGAGGACAAAAGTTCAAAACTAAGCTTAAGGGATGACAGATTCGATTACATATGATTTCAAATTTAGGTCTAAGTTTTGAATCTTCTAGAATTTCATCATCATCAAAAGTTTTCCTTTAACTTTCTTCACGAAACACCAATCGATACTTCACTTTACCATCTTACTATCTTAAAACCTTCACTTCACTCTATACATCTCAATCGATTATCTGTCTGATCTCTTACCTTCTATCATCATGTCAGCCCCTGCTCACCGTCAAGGCAACTACAAAAACAAAAAGTAAGCTCGATTTATCTATATCAACTTGTCTGAAACTTCAACTTCAACTTCAATTCACTTACCTTTACATTTGATTTGTTTTAGTCTCTTCAAAGGTGATGAACTTCGAAGAAGAAGAGAAGAACAACAAGTGGAGATTCGAAAAGCTAAACGAGATGAAACTGTTGCTAAACGTAGGAATTATCAAGTCGATGCTTCTGGTCCCGATTCTGAGTTAGTCATTTAGATTTCTTTATCACTCATCTTTTGCTTCTATCATCTCTAGTTGTCTCTCCTTTGATTATTTCCCGTGATTGACGCGCGAAAAAACTTTGATTGTTTGCTTCTTTCCACAGTGATGAAAGTGTTGCCACTGCACTCGACTCTCAGGTCAGATAAGCATTCTTTATCCTCATACTTCCATCAGACTTCCTGAACTTACTATGATTTCGGTTTTGCTTTGATAGCTCCAGGAACAACTTCCGATAATGATTCAGGGTGTATTCTCTGATACGGTTGATCTCCAACTTGATGCTACGACTAAATTCCGTAAATTGTTGTCCAAAGAGCGAAACCCACCCATTGAAAAAGTCATTGAATGTGGTGTGGTGGCTCGTTTTGTTGAATTCTTACGCAGCCCTCACTCTATGATCCAAGTAAGTCAATTTCATCCCCTTAGATCTCGATTGAACGGTCTTCAGATCACTGATCCCTTGTTCTCATTCCCTTTGTAGTTTGAAGCAGCTTGGGCTCTTACCAACATTGCTTCCGGAACATCGGACCATACAACTGTGGTCATGGAAGCAGGAGCCGTTCCAATCTTCATCGAATTGTTATCTTCACCTGTACCAGATGTACGAGAACAGGCTGTTTGGGCCTTAGGAAACATTGCTGGTGATAGTCCTAAATGCCGAGATTACGTACTCTCTCAAGGAGCACTTCGACCTCTCTTGGCATTACTCAATGAGAATCATAAATTGAGTATGCTCAGAAACGCGACTTGGACTCTTTCAAACTTTTGTCGTGGTAAAAACCCTCAACCCAACTGGGATGCGGTTAGTAACAATCGATTCAAATCCAATCTATTCATTGAGAGGTTATCCGATGCACTGGACGCCTGTGCTTCACTCTATATACTGACGCTTCCATTTCTTGTGGGTTTTGTGGATTGGATTAGATCTGCCCTGCTCTTACAGTCTTGACAAAACTGATCTACTCAATGGACGAAGAGGTCTTGATCGATGCTTGTTGGGCTATCTCTTATCTTTCAGATGGATCAAATGATAAGATTCAAACCGTCATCGAATCAGGAGTTGTACGACGCTTAGTAGATCTACTGATGTGAGCATCCCGAAGAATAGAGAACCACTTCAACCTTTTGGAGTGCTAATGTCTTTGATTTGATATTTTTTTCCAAAAAGGCATTCTTCGACTGCTGTTCAAACACCTGCGCTTCGATCGGTTGGTAATATCGTGACTGGTGATGACCTCCAAACTCAAGTTGTTATCGCCTCAGGTGCTCTACCTGCACTTCTGTCGCTCTTATCCTCCTCAAAGGATGGGATTCGAAAAGAAGCTTGTTGGACAATCTCCAACATCACTGCTGGATCTCCTCTCCAGATCCAAGCTGTTATCGAAGCCAACATCATTCCACCTCTCATCAACATCTTACAAAATGCCGACTTCAAGACTAAGAAGGAAGCCGCATGGGCCATCTCGAATGCTACCAGTGGTGGATTACAAGACCCTCAACAAATTCGTTATCTCGTCACTCAAGGTTGTATTAAACCTTTGTGTGACTTATTAAAAGCACTTGATAATAAGATCATCCAAGTCGCTTTAGATGGATTAGACAACATTTTGAAAGTAGGTGAAGCGGATAAAGAAATCAACAACGGAATGAATATCTATGCTACCTTTATCGAAGAAGCTGGAGGCATGCATACCATCCATAACTTACAGCATCATGAAAACTTGGAGATCTACAAGAAATGTTTCTTCATTATGGATAAAGTGAGTTGATTCTTAGGATCTTGATTATTTTTCTGATGAGAACATTTGACTAATTGATATCTTTTTACAGTACTATGCTGATGAAGAAGGAGAAGAGAGTGGAGTTAATGCACCACAAGTGGATGAAACTGGTACATTTGCATTTCAAACTGATGCAGCAGCAGCGCCACAAGGTGGATTTTCATTTGGAATGGCACCTAGTGGTGAAATTAACCAAGAAGCAGAAATCAGTACTGATCAAAGTATGTCATGATGATGATAATGAAAAATAAAACCCGATTATGATTTTTGGTTTTTTTTAAAAAAAAATGTGTCTTGTGTATGGAATTATATATGATGGATGATTCTTATTTGGGATTTGAAGCTTTGATTTGATTTTTCCTTTTGACCCGAGACTCATGATTAAAAGCTACAGTATTGATTTTGATTTGGGTTTTGTCCTCTTGGTTCACTTTTCTCTCTTTTTTTCTCTGTTTTGATTTTATCAGAATCTCTATATAACAAGAGATTCATAACATTCAAAGAAAAGAAAAAGATTTGCCCAAGATATATTCTACAAAAAAAAACTTTCTTAAACTTAACTTTTCTCATGTTTTTTGATCATTATAATACATTTTCTTTAAGTTTGCATGCTTTTACTTTTTCCGCTTTTTGAAATTTGAAGATTCCTTTTTTGTGAACTAGGTATGTATTTGAAGTGAGGATGGCAGTGGAAGGGTTGAAAATGGATTTGTATCAAATTTCAAGTTCAAGTGAGGATATGAAAGTGGTTTTTCAAAGTTTGGTTTTTGGGGGTTCAAAAAAGCCAAACTGACCAAGTCACCTGAGCACACATGAGATCCAACAGTAGTGCTAACTTAATGAAAGTCCCAAACAATAAGGGTACACAAACATTACAACCCATTTGAAAAACCCATTTAAGAAAAAATATAAAAACCCATTCAAAAAAATATTTTTTTGAACAGAAAATTCCAGAGGGACCCAATTTATTTTTCTGTTCAAAAAAATAATTTTTTAAATGGGTTTTTCTATTTTTTCTCAAATGGGTTTTTCAAATGGGTTGTAATGTTTGTGTACCCTTAATGTCTCTGCGATTGGTGGGGCTTGTGTTGAGCTAGACAGTAGTGATGTGAGTTTTGTGAGGGGTCAGTAACTATTGGGCTGTCTCTTCACTAAAGAGATGAAGTGCTGACAAAAAGATAATATCTTCTTGGTACACCCAAGTGAAGACTGCAGTTAGTTGACCTCTAAAGAGAGGATTTGAAGCCAGTAAAATGGCTGTTGAGTTTACCTGGAGCTGGCAGTACTTTATACTCTGGGAATTCAGAGGTGCTGTGGGGTATTTTAGACTCTTTAACAAGGTGCCCTTTGTGAATTCCAAGCTTGTTCTGTTGACTATTGATCCCACAAGCTCAGAACACCACTTGAGGTTTTACAAATACCCAGACAAAAAGTAGAACTTTAATTGATACTACTGACCAAAGGCACAACATGGTAAGGTACTTCCACTGTAGGCGGGAGGGCAAGCATATTCTAGGTGCACATGTAAAGATTACATATATCCCAGAGTCAAAGAGAAGAGAGGTGCAACAGACGGTAGCAAAACTTTTCCCGCCTTCCAATGACCTCTAGCTCCCTGCACCTAGTTGATTACACAGCATTGAAGAGATCTTTGAAGTTTTAGTAGCACAAAGTCTTTTAATTTTTTGCAGAGATCAAGTATCTGATCAAACCCAAGCCAAACAGATATCATTACTACCCAAATACATAAATGGGCAACACTGATAAGATCTTCCCAAACTTTGAAACTATATGGAAGTTGGAACAAGGTTTGGACAAACAGGAATAGAAGTAAGTGGAGGGAAGGTTTAGTTACAATTCTGAAATGAGATCAAGAAAGTTCCAAAAGACATTCAACAAGGATCAATCTGTAAGGACATGTAGCACAGCAGGAAATGGGTAGATTTTTTTTGTACATACAGCTGTAAAAGTTGTAAATGGTCTTTTGTCCTCTAAGATTTCAATTTCTTTTGTTAGCTCATCAAGTTAGAATCAACAAAACACTATTATCTTTTTCTATCCTAATTTCAGTCTGATATCTATTAGCAACAAAAGAAATTATTTTTTATCACTCACTGCCCCCCAAAAGGGTTGAGATATTAGTGGCTCTCAAACCTGCCCCGGTTTTCAAAAAACCCAGTTGACCCAGTTGTTTTTTGGCAGTAACTTTGTGTATCAAGTTGACATTTGTTGACAGCTCCCAGCCAAAAATTCCACTGGGGCAACCGGGTTTTTTGAAACTGGGTCAGGTTTGAGAGCCACTATTGTATTAGTTATAAATTTGTGGTTTTGGCCCCTCAGGGCCAGAGTTGTTCCAGGTAATTCAGGTCTCAGGACCGTAGCATATTTTGAATTCTCAATTCATTTCAAAAGACATAACTAGAAAGACCCACATGAGCCAATACTATTCTATATACTTTAAAAATCCTGGATATCAAGAAGTCTCCTTTTTCTTTTATTTCTCTTATGAAAACCAAGATATATTTCTCTATGTATGTACTCTTTATCTAATACAACCCATCCTATTCAAAATCCCAACAATCACACTTAAACACCTAAATCAAGATGAATCTAAAGAATTCCAGTCACAAATAGACAAGACAGTTAGAAGAGATAATGAAAAGGAGAAAGGGAAGGAAGTAGAATGAAGAATAGAAGAAGAGGAGGGAGTAGAAGTGGAAGGTAACCTGTTGTGTTGTGTTGTGTGCCAAAGTGCAATGTGGCAACATGTAAGATAATCACAAGGACAATGCTGGGCCGCTGGGCTGCATTTCTGGAAACGGGGGGTTGAGCCGCATTGCAGCACTTATTTTTTGGCCCCAAAAGATGCAATGAAGAGGGCAATGAGATTATCTGCTGCAATGTGTGACGCACAACATCTGCAACAGTGAAAATGGTGGTTGGATGCCGCTCAAGGATCAGTGGAGTTTTGTTTGTATTGTATGATCTGTTGCTCCATGTGTTGATCCAAAAGAAATAGAAACAATAAAAAATATGGAATATGAAAACCCATCCTAAGTTCCTGTCAACAAGCGTACTCAAGTGATGAGTAGGGAGTTGATGAGAATATCTCAAATCAGAGATTTTAATTGTAGTCACAATTCCGGAACTCAACAATCTAAAGAAGAAGGATACGAATGAAATTGGCACATGGCTGATACTAACCAGATAGGTTTAAAGTTAAGTTTTAAAGGTAGCTGGAATATTCTGGACACAGTGATGATTAAAGTAAACTAATTGTTTAGATTGATTGGTAGTAAAAAGGAATGCAGAAAAAGCATAAAAGAGAGAAAACAACAAGGGTTTCATACCCTTTTCAACAAAGCATCACAAACAACCAAGACTAGTATGAACTCCACTCGATTCCGGATATCCATCATTCTGTAACTTGTATATTCAAATAGATGCGTCATAGAATGAATCTGTTCAAACACGTAAGCATAATCCCATAATCAACTCCATCAATCACACTGTCAATCCGTAACTGTTCTCAGACTGTCGGAATAACATTTCCCAAGTGTTGAGTCCAGTTTAGTTTTAGATGTAATAATCCTCGAAAAGGGTTCCCAATCCCAATCAAGTATTATAACTGAGAACTGCTACATATTTCAGGAGATCATAACTTTGTTAATTAATTCATGATCACTTTTCCCAGGTTTTTGATTATTAATTAAAAGAATGTATGAATGAAATAGGTAAAAAAGAGAAGAATAGAAAGTATGAAATATGACTAAAAGAAAATATAATTCTGAAATAAAGTGAAAGATAGAAAAATATAAAAGCTTTTATTTGTAATACGGTCTTGACTAATATGTCATTTGACATTTTGTTGAAGGTGTGACATATTATATGTCAGCTAGAGGATAAGTACTTAGCTAACTTATGCCCTGGCTGACAGTTCCACCTTTTACATTCCTGCCATCACAAGCCTCAATTGCTTTGTTCACCTTGGTATACTTAAGTGCTAAAGGTACACCTTGCCTGATCCAAATCCTCAAATGTACACAACACATGATGGTTTTTTGGCACAAGGGAAACACAATTGGAGCTGAAGATATTTGCAGCAGCCAAGAAAGTCCTTTTGACTGTGGCCAAACGGGCTGGGAGACTCATATAGTCTTGAGCCAGAGAAGCCAGGATCAGAAAGGCCATACAGTTCACCTGAGGGTATTGTGACATATAAATGCAATGGCCAAATGATTGTGATTTGTGCTTCAAACAAAAGAAGCAAATACCTTCCACCATGGGAGAATGGCTTTACATTCCTGTGTGTTATCTGTGATAGCCATGGGATGTGATCCCTTCAAAAGGCAATGTGACTTGATGTGACCATCAACAAGGCAACCTAACTGTCAATAAGGAAGCGTATTGAGCAAGGAAACAAACATTTCACACATGATATATAACTGTTACAATTCAATTACATATGTTTGACATATGTAGGACAGCACCTGACAATTGTAATCAGAGTAAGACACAGCAAAAAGAACCACAAATCTGTGGCTAACAACTGCAAAAGGGCTGTTAAGGGTTGAAGGTTGATATGGACAGATTGATTAGTTTAAAAACTGATGCAAACTTAATTGACATTGTAAAGGATGAGGACCAAAAAAGAAAAGACAAGATCAAGGGTTTATATACCTGTCAGCCCTGAGTACATGGACATGTACCCAAAACCAACTTGTAACATTAAAAACATTATATATAAGATTAATTACATATGAATACAATTTAGTAAAAGTATGTAACATGTAATAAAATATACCAAAGACACTTATTACATATACATGTACACTGAAAACAACATGTAATATGTGATAAAACATCATTCACACCTCATAACTAGGGCTGTGACCCGGCCCTGGCCCCACCCGGCCTACTGTGCCCGCTGGTTTTCCAGAAGCAGACAGTACGCGCCCTGACACACCAAAACCTATTTAATAAGGGTCATAAAAGCCCTGTGAGCACCTGGGCGGCCCGGTCCGCCCCGGTGCCCGTCATTTCTTTTGCTGAATAATCTAAAAAATTGCCTTTTGAGTTAGGTCCCATGGCTCTCTCCAAGGTCTGAGTAGGCTGATATAAAGTTTATGTACAATTTTATACACCTAGAAGATTAGAAATAGAATAGCTACAATATAAAAGGCAATACTAAATGTATTTCTAGGACTATGTACGTTATTAAAACCACATTCATATACAGAGACTCTTTCAGGATAGGGTCTACTTGGTGCTAGTAGGACATTTAGAAGAAGAAGAACTATTACTAGAAACAGAACAAAAAAATGAGAACTGTTATTGTCATATTAAATAGTGAATTGAGCTAGTTCAATGCTATTTATTAGAAGTTCAGAGTCTAGTATAAAAAGAGTTATAAAAGCAGTGCAAGTGGCAATTGAGAAAGCGTGAAGAGGACTTATTGCTATTGCTGTTGCTATTGCTATTGATATTGCTATTGCTATTGCTATTGCTATTGCTATTGCTATTGCTATTGCTATTGCTATTGCTATTGCTATTGCTATTGCTATTACTATTACTATTACTATTACTATTGCTGTTGCTACTGCTATGGCTGTTGCTACTGCTATTGCTATTACTAGTCCCAGATTCTCTAGGTTTGTCAAACATCATAATCTTAATCATCTTTAGATAGTATGAAGCACTAATTACTGAACTCATAATTGCAATTATAAAAATTACATAGGCTCCCTCCTCTACTGATGATCATAGTACATTCATCTTCGCGATGAACCCTACTAGTGGCGGTAGATCACTTATTGAAAATAGGCTTATTACTATACTAAATGTAATTATACTATACCTACTAAAACTTTGTCTCATATCTGATATATAATTTACCATTTTTCAATCTTTACTACTTCCACGTATTACAGATTCTAGATTTATATTCTTGTAACCAATAATACGTATTCAAATGAGAATGGTTGATAGACTATATTGAACTATGTAAAATATCAGAGCATTATTACTTGATTCTGTCCCTAGACTTAGACATAGTACTATAAATCCTACATGACTAATTGTACTAAATGCCAGAAGTCTTCTTAGTTGTGTTTGAACTAGATCTGTTACCGTCCCTAGAATTATGGAAGTTATTGCCACTAATAGTAGTACATACATCACCTTTGTATTTATAAGCTCCTGAGTTAGCGTATACAGTGCTGTCATAATTGAAATCTTCGGAATTGTTATCAGCATTATTGTTACTACTGTTGGAGTATTCTGATATACATCTGGAGCTCAATTATGAAATGGTGCCGCCGATACCTTGAATATATCCACAATAAATGGACATTAGACCTAGACTCAAGTGTTTTCTGGATCCCCTTGGGTCTGCCCAAGGCCGGGTGATGCCCCGGGGCCGCCCTGTCACACTCAGGGGCGGGTCACAGCCCTACTCATAACTCAGTGTCAAGAGTTAAAATGCTTATATTACATATTACAAGTAACATGTATATGTAATTAAGTACCGCTAGCAATGATCATAACATCTAGTGATGATCGACCCTGAACCAATGTAGTGATAGAGACATATATCACTACATTTAGGTTTAAAGAGGAGAGTATATAAACCCCTCCTCTCTCAGCCTTCAGGGATTTCCCCCAAGCTTTTATTACACCTCACTTTTAAAGAACAACTTCAAAGTAATATTGAAGCTTATAATCAAGAGTCTGATAATAATAAGACTAGTGATTTACTTCATTACTTTAGACAGCTTCCTGACTAAACGCAAGTGATACACCCCTCACCTTTTTCTGGATCCTTCACTTTCCCCAAGTAGATTCTTACTAGGTTGGTGACCTGCAACAACTCAAAGGGTAGTGGCTTACATACAATTACTTAGGTTGGTGACCATAAGAACAACCAGTGTAGTGATCTAGACCTCACTCTGTAATCTGTCAAATAAGAAGATTAAAGGAAAACCTTGGATCCAGTTTTCATCAATTATGATCTGTATAATTATAAATTGAAAACCTCCTTTTTATGAGTCATCTAACTGAAGTCTGTCTGGATTTATCCAAACAGACCAGTACCTTTCTCCCTTCCCTATTTTCTATATAATTTTATTGTAATTACTTTATGGTTGAAATATAAATTTGATTATTTAAAATTACCCAACTCCTCTAGCCCAAATTAGTGAGCCTTGAGTACTCTCTTAAGTACTCAACCCTCACAATACCCGTCAGAACAACAAAAAAACACACACATCAAGTATGAGAGAACAACATTGAGGATGTTACAATGAGAAGATCATGTGAACAACTATCTTGCGATCTGTAGATGATCTCATAGGATCTTTTACAAATAGATGTGCATGTGTAATTAGCTAATTTGGTGTATGTAACCTTTGAGTAACATATACTCCTGAATCACGCTTGTGAATTACTCAATGACAACCTATCCTTTTAGCACATGAACCCTAAACATCCTTCCTTGGTGATGTCACATGCCAAGGAGATCAGTTTTGAATGGACAGCTACTAAGTTGGGTTCCCGCTCCAACACAGTTGCTTGACCTAGTTAGAATGATTATCATAAAAAAATCATGCACAATCCATGTCTTTCCTCCTACAAGCAGGGGAGACAAGTAGAGCGTGAAGGTAGGTTAATAGGAATCTCCTTCAATTGCTAGGTTAGGGTTTACTGTACTTGCTCTTGATCTAACAAGAGTGAGGACAGTAAGTTTGGGTGGAACCTAGCTCACACCTCCCAGGGCTAGAGAAGTGTACCACTTCAGCGCCTAGCACCTAATAGGCGGCTGCCAGAATGACAGCGGGAGAAGAGCCTTTTTGAACCCCACCACAGGGAGCAAAGGCTCTATGAGCCAAGCCCCTGCGAAGGGGCTTGAATCCCGCACTCATGGAGGCAAGCTCACAACGGAGCACACCCGGACTAGAACCTCAGCAAAACAAAGTATACAGCTTAGAATGTTTCTCTGCACAGGTTCACCAGTAAGTCATTGCCGTGACCGTTTTGGGCACAAAGACTGTAGGAAGGCAACTCAACTTAAGATTACGTAAAACAATCAACAGGTAAGCGCATCTTGTGGGCTAACAAAGTAGTGCTACGTAAGACATTTGAACTGTACCGGTGGACGTATAGCTTATAAGAATCAGAACACCACCTTCCCGCCCGTTGTAGGGAGTTCAAGGAACAGCCAAAGTTTGCACGCAGAGATGCCGTACCAATACAAAGACTGTGACCCGACCAACAAAACCCACCAGGTGGTTGGTGCTTTTTCAAAACCTCCAGGACGCTCTTTTTGGACATCGCCTGAGTTCTCGATACACCACAGAAGAGCGGTTCAGTTGGCTGCCCTTTGGTCATAGATAGGATGTCTTGTAAAGCTTTGATTGGATCTAGCCGGTTTGGTTGATGGTTTAAACGTAAAAGTTGGACTTCTCCTGGCACTGCCGTCTTTGCAAGTTGGAGCATGATGGTTGCTTTACTGAAATCTGCAGAGAAGGATACGTCTTGCCGCCTGATAAACACATCAGGGTGGTCGTCATATTTTGTCAGCTCACCTAATCGGGTGAGGCCCCAAAAACCGACCAAGATGATAGCGCGGAGTGTGAGATTAGGAAGAAAAGTGCCATGTAACTTGCTCATCAACTTGTCAACGTCCATCAGTGTCAAACCAACACGTGATCTAGAGATTTGTGGAACTTCACACTTCTTTCCTGCTTTCAACACCAATCGTAGTTGGTCTGGATTAAGAGATGGAAAGTTGACATCGTGCAATGTGTGCCACATACGCAGGCTTGTTAAGTAGTGCTTTGTGGTATTGCTTATTACTGTATGCTGATGTTTGTTGTCTCCACACCAAACAACAAAGTGGTATATGTTTGTTGTGGAGGCTGGGAAAGGAAAAATTGAAGTGTTCATGAAAGTGAAGTATTTATTGACGGCCGCAGTGTACTGTCTGATTGTAGAAGCTGCCCACCCATGTTCAAGGATAACCTCACTGACTTTATTAAGCTTTCTAAAGACATGTGGAGCGGTTTGGCAGAGGGTAGATTTGGCAGACATTGTAAGAGATCCGTGCTGGCGGAAAGACTTGTACTAACAGGCTGGACAAGTCTGCAGGAACGTCGATATTTATGAGTTTGTTGAGTGACTTAAAAGGCCCCAAACCGTGCAACAATTTATTGGCTTAATTGTCAGCCGACTTGACTCTGACCAAGTTCAAATTGCATTCCAGTTCAACTAGCAAGTCCTGCACAACAGGCCATTCTTGGTTAAGCCAAAAGTCCCTAGACTTTTGATTCCGTGTTGCGCCTTCAGTCATCGTGTTATCAGTCAGGCAAGAAAAACTGTGGCCTGCTAATCCAACCGGGCCGTTGCCTAACTTTTTCTTCAACATTAACAGACCCAGGTGCACTGCCACGGTCTCAGCCCAGGCAATTCTCATCCTGGGCCGGCCTTCTGGATGATCCCAGCCAGGCAGCCACTTGAACTGGCTCCAGGCTTTCCCGATTATGATGCCTATTCCAAAATTGGTCAAAGCGTCTCCGACCCATCCCACATTCTTGACAATGTGGTTGGGGATGATCTTTGTTGGGTTCAAATTGTCAATTAGTAGCAAATGAAGATATGTTTCTTTCTCTGTGTTTGTGTAGTGTTGGTTACAAAACTCCATGTTGTGTTGTGATCTTATTTGTCTTTTCTCTCACGTTGTGAAGTATGATCTTATCTCACCATGATCACTACTAGCTACATCTCTATTTGTCTCTTTTAACTCTTAGCTATGTTTTCTTGTCTCTGTTTTACTATAAAGTGCCACCTATGAGTTTGAAGAGTTTGATCTCCATCCTTTCAAACTCTTCTCGGTCTATCACTAACAAGCAATCCACTTACTTACACATATCTTGCTTTACCGTGAATGAACTCATAGGTAAGCTTTTCTAGTCTTTTGTCTTCTTTTGTTTCTGATTTCTCTAGTCTCTTTCTATTTCTTACTTGCATGTACATGTCTTTGTGTCCTTCATTTTTATGCTGTGTTTTGAAATAAATGATCCTTTCAAACTCTTCTCAGTCTATCACTAACAAGCAATCCACTTACTTACATGTATCTTGCTTTACCGTGAATGAACCCATACAAATCTCTAACGTAAGCTTTCCAATATCCAATGTCTTCCTTTATGTCATCTGATATTTTCCGTCTTCTTGGTGTCTTCCATGCCGCCACAAAGCTAAAGCTTTCCACCAAATAACACATGAGCTGAGGTAGTATCAGTGTCAAGTGACTCAGTTTACGGTTGAATTTTAGCAATTCCTTCTTTGTACAATCAGTCTTCGCAAGAAAGTCATCTATCTCTCTTTGCCTTTTTAAGAGTTTCTTTTCTGGTAGTCGAACGGTTTTGTTGACACAATTCCAAAAGAAACCGATAAACATTTGTTCTACGGAAAACTCTGAGTATTTTGTGACTTTAGTTTTAACACCCAGCAATTCACTACTATTTCTACCATTGTTGTAGTGTCTGTTTTCAACTTTATGGTTAAGTTGTTGTCCACCCAACGGAAAACCTCCATCAGTTTGAAGATAGCTTTCATCAAATCTTTCCATCCGTTGGCTGGACCTCCGAAGGACCCACATCCACCTACGCCTCCGAATGCTATCATTATATTGATAAGGATTTTTTCATCAAAATCCATAATTGCCAAGAATGGCCACTGAGTTGGGTGTGTTGGGATTTGTCGGTAGGCACCCTCCCAATCAAAGATACCCATTAGCACATTGTCCTTCAACCTTTTTATGAATAACACCACCAACCTGAAGTTGTCCCAAGTCGTTTCAAATTCTTCCTTGTTGATGTACGAATTTACAGAGCGGATTTCTTTGTCAAACTTGGGGTATGACATATCATTAATTGGCCTAAATGTACCATCACCGTTTTCAACCGCACCAAGCGGGTCAGTTCTAAAGAAACCTAATTGTTGAAACACTTCTTCTTTTTTGTATGGTCCAAACATCCTACCTGCTAACACTTCTTTCTTAATATTCTTTTTGATCTTATCTCTAGCTTTTATTGCCGAGCTATGATTGGGTGGACAATAATAGTCTAAATCTTTGACGGTATGAAATGGGACACCTTGGTGAAAACTGTTTTTGAAACCATCAAGCAAGTATTCATATTTTTCAGATAAACCATGTTCTAATAGTTGTGTCCTCCATACGTTGATATTCATATTGCATTTCACATTTGACAGCCAGTTGTTAAATCTGTTTGCCTTTGGAC